CAGTTTTTGGTGGAACTGTTCTCCTTGGTGCACTTCAATTTTTGGTAGTTTCAGGCATCGTGAGGAACCTGCTGTAGTTGGACTCAGGAGTTCTCAGTGTCTTCTGTCTCTTATAGAATCCCAGACTGGCTCCATGTTGATTAGATCAGGGCTCTGTGGGGGCTACACCACCTGCTTCAGGACTCCTGGTTCTTCTTGTGCCTGAACATAGTTTTTATGATTCTGGCTGGATGTTTGGGTTTGTTGCTGTGGTGTAGAATTAATTCAAGACCAATCAGAGACCTCCTAGATGGTATTGTATGATGGAAATGATCTGAAGTGCCTAAAACATTTGCATAGTGCAGTAAATTAATAGGAATAATGTTACTGCTAAATTGGCTTATAAAGAAATTGTTTTCCTTTAAATACTTCCAACAGTCTCTTTGAAAGTGCTGTAGGAGAGGCAACATCCGGACCTAAAACAGTTTAGTGACCAAGCTCACTAAACTGTTTACTAATCACACCATTCTTTATTGGTGAGTAGCTGCAAATGCCAGTTGGAAATTACTGAGCTGATTGAAAACCAGGTCAAAAAAAATTATAAAACAAATCATTTCCTGCAAACATAATATAGTGATGTTTGGCTGTGCACAAAATCTGAGTTAATATACTGTATCAAATTAAGGTGTGAATTGGACCTTTGTGTCAAAGTGAATACAAACTGCAACTTTGCAACAGCATATTAATGGAGAGTGTGATCATCTTCTCTGGATTCTCTCTGTGAGAGGCAGTGGACTCACTGTCAGCTCATATGACTTACTGGCCAAACAGCTTCTACAGCCACAGACCCAGGTGTGTACACGTGTGTCTGAGAGATCAGACTAGTGATGGATCACTTCTCTGAAGGTCATTTCTGCCTTTTGGGCTTTTCTACTTTCTGTCATGTGATTTTTTTTTTATAGCATGTGACTTAAGGTTTGTGTTGATGTTTGTGTGTAGAAGCAGCAGTTCCTCCCTGGGTTGGCTACAATGAGGAGGAGACAATCCAGCAACAGATCCTTGCTTTGTCAGCTGTAAGCGAAGACATCAAACATTATATGAATGTGTCAACATGTCTGTGACTTTATTGCTGTCTGTGTTCAATACTCCTGAACTCATGCATCACTGGAATGATTAGCCCTTTTTGTACAAACTGAACTCTCTGGCTGCTGGTTCTAGGACAAGAGAAACTTCTTGCGAGACCCTCCCGCCGGTGTTCAGTTCCACTTCAACATGGAGCAGATGTATTCCCTGGCTGCAGTGATGCTGGAGGAAGACCAGCTCCTTAACCGCATGCGCTTCGACCTGGTTCCTAAACAGTCAGTAGTCTTTCAGGATTATGTTTGCACGTGTGTACATGTTTTTCTGTATTTGTGTGGAGGAATTTTAATTTCAAACTGTCATTTATGTTACTTATGGGTGAAGGGTAGGGTATTGGTTGAGGTTAGGCATGCAGCTGTAATGGTTAAGGTTAGCCTAAGGGGCTAGGGAATGCATTAGATCAGTGTCCTCACAACTATAGAAAGACAAATGTGTGTGACAGGATGCCGTTTACATCATGTTCCTGTTTCTGCATGTGTTAGCATGATAAAATTGCAATAAGCTGTGGAGTCCACATTAAAACAATCTAAAGTGGACTGTGATGTGTTTGGATTTGACAGTGTGAAAGAGGAGGTGTTCTGGAGGAATTATTTCTACCGGGTGTCCCTGATCAAGCAGTCAGCTCAGCTCACAGCCCTGGCAGCCCAGCAGCAGCAGAAGAGTGGCGAGGACAGAGAGCCCGGTGTTTCACATCAAGACGTCGTCGTAACAGGTCAGACATTCATCTGTGCTTCAACAAAAGCAGAGGTGTTCTGCCTGTTACTCACATCAGCAGGGTCCACTGCATTTGATTCTTGTCTGTAACAAGACGTAAATCACAAGGGGAGAAGATCAGATATGCTTCACCCAACTCAATGCCTACTAGGAATGGGTGACACTCCAACATAATCATAAAGCTCTGTGTAGATTTATTGCTAAATATGTGTAATAAATTTCAGTCATTGTTGAACTGGGCACACATGTGCAACTCTGATTTCCACTCCAACAGTTAGCCAGAGATGGACAGAAGCATGCGCATCTCGGTACATCTCTCACTACTCCGCCACTTGTTAAGCCTGTATGTGAGAAGCTGTGTCAATTTACAGCACATGTCGCAACTTTTAGCCAGGGAACACCCTGCGGCAGAGACTGGTCCACCTGAAGGACAAAACACCCAGACAAACAGAGTGATGTGGTGTATGCCATTAAGTGTAGTCAAGAATGTAACGACTTGTACATTGGTGAAACTAAGCAGCCGCTTCACAAACACATGGCTCCACACAGGAGGGCCAACTCCAGTGGACCAGAGTCAGCAGTCCACCTCCACCTGAAGGACAAAGGACATTCTTTTGAGGACAGTGAAGTCCAGATCCTCTCCAGAGAACATCGCTGGTTTGAGAGAGGAGTTAAGGAAGCTATTTTTGTAAAAATAGAACACCCCTCACTGAATAGGGGTGGTGGACTAAGACACAACTTGTCTTTCATCTACAACTCTGTTTTGAGATCTCTGCTCAAACATGCCCACCAGGACAACAGGCGTCAGTCAACAGGGGAGGTTTCAAAGACAGGTAACGACTCTCACCGATACTGGGCTATAATGACTCAGTCATTAAGGGACATCGTTGGCCTTCTAAGGACTGAAACACCACCGAGGGGGATAAATATCTCCGGCTCAACACCAGTCAGTCAGAACTGATGAAGCCTCTTGGATGAGAGGTGAAACGTCTTCAACCTAAAACCGAGTCCAGTTGATTTATTTTTTTCAGCTTTATAGCACATGTATCATTAATTCACAGCATGCACTTGTAAATGTGAGTTGTTAGAAAGCAAGTCTTTAGTTGTTGCCATCCACTTCATTGCCACTGCTGTTAAGGAAAATGTTGCTACTGACACAAACCAAAGGCCTGATTGTGGTTTCAGAGGAAATCCACAGATCATTGTGTTAAGCACACTACAATTTGCTTATGTGAAACTAATATCATTATATTGTTTCTTTGTAGACAATGTCAGACCCAAAACACCACCAGTTTCCATCAGTGACATACAGAAGGTAGGAGCCTGTGGGTTTATATGCCTGTCTTGATAGTTTCCAGCATAATTCAAAGAGTTGTACAGTGAATTGCCTTCTCAGCTCTGTCTGCGTTATTAGCAGCCACCTCAGGAAGAAGAGGAGGAGATGTCAACAAGTCCAGGAGTATCAGAGTTTGTGAGCGATGCTTTTGACTCGACAGCCATCAACCACGAGGACCTGAGGAAAGAGATGGAGCAGCTGGTGTTGGATAAGAAGGACAGTGTCCCCTCTCCTGATGGTTAGTTTTATAAGAGAGTCTATTCATTCTTCAACTAAATGTTGAGAATCACATCATACAGCTGGAAGTATTCGTTCTACTTTTTCATCCACTTGGAACTTTAAAAGACAGTATTCTGTGACTGTGTTGCTCATAACCTTCCTTTTACATCCAGACGAGTCAGCAGACTGGGAGAAGGAGCTGCAGCAGGAGCTTCAGGAGTACGAGGTGGTGACCGAGTCAGACAACAAAGATGACCAGTGGGATCAAGAGATTGAGAAGATGCTCCAGGCTGATGACAGCTAGACAACGACTGTGTGTCTATCTCCTGTACAGGCAGTGGTCTGGCCCAAAATGGATGAATAATGATTCATAGTGACCAGTGATGCACAAAGGGGATGAAGTTCCACATCCTCTGCCCCACCCTACTGTGATTACTATCTTGTACATTCTCCTGTACCTGATGAAGGTGTAGATTGAGTAATAGCAAGAGTCTGTCACCTATGCTGCAAGCAGTGGTTGCGTTCAGGCATATTGGTGAAAGTACTGCTTCATTGCTCCTTCCTAAATTTGTTTTATCCTCTTGTTTTCTCTTCTCTTTTCTTGTTGTGATGGGGAAAAGCTGCCAGAGGGCGCTCCAACACAAGAACTATGAATTTTATAATGGAGGGGGCCTACTTGAAATGACAGATCTGGATCTTTGTTTCTACAACTTCTTTGTGGTGGGCTGTATGGTAAATCTTGGTATAGCTATAGTACAGTAATATCAAGTGTAAAGTTACATATATGTAAATAAAGATTCTAACACCATACTTCAACTTCTCATTTGCCATTTTGTACCACATTGTGACTCCTCCTTGACTTTTGTCTGCAGCTGAAATGATGTGTATCTTCTGTTTTAGTTGCCATCCTTTAATAAATATTTATCTGGTATTATGGACAATATACCTCATGTTTGGACATAGTGGGCAACATGAAGACTAGAACACTGATATTTAAAATGATAGGAACAAGTGTTTGAACACTGCTACGAAACCCTTTTCACCAAGCTTTTACAATTGGTATGTCATTCTATAGATCTCGCACCAAAATAAAATGGTAAAATGCCATATTATACAAATAATTATAATAAGAGTTCCATACAGTTACAGAGGCGACAGGAGCTATAGTATGTTCTGAAAAGATATACATCCTCGCATTTATGCACATAATTAGAATAAATTAACAGCAATGGACAATGTCAATGAATACTGTACACTGTAACACATCCACCCTTGTCACAAATGTGACATGATCCATATGGGTCAGGCAGTCACACATACATGCAAAAACATTCACAAATAATTTTAGAAATTTAAATGCATATAAGTAAGGTTTTTTAAAATCAAATGTTAATAGATTGATTACCTCAAATACAGGTATAAACTAGATATATATTCAACTTTGGAGTATTTTTATTGCTGTATAATCATTCATATAGTTTGGTATGTACTTGTGTATTGGCCATTGCATTTGTGAACACCATAGATTACCTACAAATCATCATACACATACAGGTGCATCTCAATAAATTAGAATATGGTGACATGCCACTCAGCTAGTCAACTCAAAACACCTGCAAAGGTGTCCTGAGCCTTCAAAATGGTCACTCAGTTTGGTTCACTAGGCTACACAATCATGGGGAAGACTGCTGATCTGACAGTTGTCCAGAAGACAATCATTGACACCCTTCACAAGGAGGGTAAGCCACAAACATTCATTGCCAAAGAAACTGGCTGTTCACAGAGTGCTGTATCCAAGCATGTTAACAGAAAGTTGAGTGGTAGGAAAAAGATGCACAACCAACCGAGAGAACCGCAGCCTTGAGAGGCTTGTCAAGCAAAATCAATTCAAGAATTTGGGTGAACTTCACAAGGAATGGACTGAGGCTGGGGTCAAGGTATCAAGGGCCACCACACACCGCCGTGTCAAGGAATTTGGCTACAGTTGTTGTATTCCTCTTGTCAAACCACTCCTGAACCACAGACAATGGCAGAGGCGTCTTAGCTGGGCTAAGGAGAAGAACTGGACTGTTGCCCAGTGGTCCAAAGTCCTCTTTTCAGATGAGAGCAAGTTTTATATTTCATTTGGAAACCAAGGTCCTAGAGTCTGGAGGAAGGGTGGAGAAGCTCATAGCCCAAGTTGTTTGATTGTTTGAAGTCCAGTGTTAAGTTTCCACAGTCTGTGATGGTTTGGGGTGCAATGTCATCTGCTGGTGTTGGTCCACTGTGTTTTTTGCAAAACACAAGTCACTGCACCTGATTACCAAAACTTTTTAGAGAACTTCATGCTTCCTTCTGCTGACCAGCTTTTTAAAGATGCTGATTTCATTTTCCAGCAGGATTTGGCACCTGCCCACACTGCCAAAAGCACCAAAAGTTGGTTAAATGGCCATGGTGTTGGTGTGCTTGACTGGCCGGCAAACTCACCAGACCTGAACCCCATAGAGAATCTATGGGGTATTGTCAAGAGGAAAATGAGAAATGAGAAACAAAACAATGCAGATGAGCTGAAGGTCACTGTCAAAGAAACCTGGGCTTCCATACCACCTCAGCAGTGCCACAGACTGATCACCTCCATGCCACGCCGAATTGAGGCAGTAATTAAAGCAAAAGGAGCCCCTACCAAGTATTGAGTACATGTACAGTAAATGAACATACTTTCCAGAAGGACAGCAATTCACTAAAAATGTTTTTTATAGGTCTTATGAGATATTCTAATTTATTGAGATAGTGAATTGGTGGGTTTTTGTTAAATGTGGGCCAAAATCATCACAATTAAAAGACCCAACGGCTTAAATTACTTCAGTCTGTGTGTACTGAATTTATATAATACACGAGTTTCACTATTTGAGTTGAATTACTGAAATAAATGGACTTTTCCACAATATTCTAATTTATTGAGATGCACCTGTAGGTAATTATTTGGTGACCATGGAGCACACACTTTTCACCGTTACTGAGACCCACTTCTTTGCAAATGTGAGGTGGCATGAGGGAAGAGTGCAGAGGTGGGAGAGAGTCTGAGTAAGTACATGTGGAATGATGGATGTTTTGGGCTGGATGTTTTGATTGTAGAAAGTCTATAATCACATTGCTCTGCATGTGTGAACCAGGCAGCCAGGCATGTCTCTACATGCTCCTTACATTTCTGTTGCGGAGTGGTGGAAAACAGAATGCTGTCTGGAGTGGCAGAGCTACTTCCACCGCAGTCAAGTTACAAAAATAAATGGGAGAATAAAGACTTGTTTGCAAGTGGCAGCCAGTACAAGGATCAGCACGCCAATGTCTGTGCCTTCTGACTTCTTTTAGAGTTGCAAGCATGTCATGTGAAAAACCATCATCTTAAGGAATAGACAAATCCTCAGTGCTGCTCTCTCTCTCTCTCTCTCTCCCCCTCACACACACACACACCTACACACACACGCATATGTCACACCCAGGATCCACCAGCTGGTCTCTAGCAGGACACAGTTGTCACCATGGTGACAAAGCTCTGCAGATGAGGACCCATGTGTTTTATTACTTGTGTGTGATGTTGATTTAACAGCCTTTTAATAATGCATAAAGGCACGTCTGTGTGTGTGTGTCTCTGTGTGCATCCAGCCCACATAGCCTGCAGATGTCCATGTCTAAATTTCAGATAAGACAGAATAAACTGATATGAGAAATAAGCATGTTGGAAGATTGCCTGTAATAAACAAACACATGGCAGAGTGTGTTCCATGTGTGACATGAAATAAATATGCTGTTATTCACAAATCCTTCTTAACTACCCAAACATTTCCACATTTTTACTATTTTACAACAATAACAAAGCAGCCAAGATACAAGGGGAAAGGAATGTACCTAAAAAGGGGCAGCTGGAAAGAAATGCAAGGATGAAGGGTAGAAAAGAAAAACATAGAGCAGCTAAAAGGTATTTAAACCATGGTGGATGTGACGCCGAGACCCTAAAACGCTCTGAGACCAGTGTTTACAGTTTTACAAGAAAAGGGCTTCTCGTGGTGTCTTCCACAATGAAAACACAGGCGTGTGTTTGAAAATGCCCCTGGTAAGAAACTGATTTGAAGGATTTTTAGTTTGGAACAGTTTGTTAAGGTGTTAATGTTCTGATTAAGAAATAAACTAAAAACGCATACCAAGATTGTGCATTTGGTGAAATATGCCATGTTGTTTTCAGTGTAAGTCCTTACAAGTGCAGTAACTCCAGTGTGTTTTTGGGTATACAATGCGTTAATACCTTTGTAGAGTCTCAGTCTAAGAAGCTATTTGTTTTCCATCACATTGTGACAACAGACATTCACATACAGAGCCTGTCATTAAAGTTGTAATGCTTATTCCAAACAATACATGTGAGCTTGGTAGATTTCAGAAAATTTGCTTTTGACTATTATCCTTGAGTGGTTGCTGGTGGGAAACTATAACAGCAGCAATGTTAGATCATCTACTAAGCCACTGAACCACAGTGTGCTGTGGTTTATTTGCTGTCAGGCTGACATTTATGCAACTTGGCTGCTGTGTCGCATGATAGAGAAGTAGATTATTCTGACAATGTTTAGAGTGTTGACAGGAAATAGCATTCAGGGGCCAAAATACTGGACAAGTATTGTTCAGTGCTGATAAGCATTCACCAATATTTTGTGCTCTGTAGTACCTTGCCCTGTTAACACCAGCCCTTAATAGTTCATCTGTTAAGGAAGAGCATCAGTCTCCCACAGAGCCTGCTCTGACTTTTATATGGAAATGGATAATAAGATAACTAATCTGTGTAGGCTTGAGACCATGTGCTGACTCCCACTCTCTGGCTCTTGTTGTTGCTTTTAGTCAGTGTTTTCCTTTTTCCTGTTCGTTATCTCTCACCTTTTCATCAGCCCATCTTTCCACTCTCACCCTCACAGCTGATCTTTTAGGTAACATTTGTCACTTTAGTCTTTAGTCGCTGTGTGTGAGTGTAATTTCAAGCACACCTGTTATCACCAAGTGGACCCTTTATTACCAAAGCACAAAACAGTTCAACTGACAAATGCACAAACTCGCTCCCTTCTCCACACACAGACACACACACACACACACACACAAAACCATCAATGTACTGCAGACAGTTAAACAGAAAAGAAGAGCCAGGTGTTGAATCTAGCCATTTCCTTTTTCTCCCTCCCTCTCCGCTGCCACTCTCTACAAAGTTTTTTTGTTTACTCTTTAGAAAAAAAAGAAAAGATACCACTGAATTTATGAGTTTAAGTTTGAGTTTTGAAGTGGAAATGTGCTTTAAATTGTCAGATAAGCACAGACAACGGTATCTGTTAATGCTGTTGGTTTAAACATTAACTTACTTTAATACCTGCAGCTGCAGGCGTGTCAGACAGTTGTGTGCACAGCAGAATACAAATGTCTAGTCAACAAACCCAATTTATTCATAAAAAGCCGCCATATACTGTAGAAGACTGGGCTTTGGTTCTCACTCTGTAGTAACAGGAAATATTATGTACAGTATTAGAAGTGTTTTTGTAGTTGTGTGACATTCTGAATATGACTCATTTTAGTATTTTTGCATGATAATCTGATGAAGCTGAGCAAGTTTCTATGTACTGTACATGTCAAGGTCAAATGTTACACTGAGGCTTAGGTTTACATGTTTTACATTTATGCTCAGCTTTACAGTTGCTTATGAAACCATGTAACCATTTTTTTTAGTTCAAAGGTTCCTTAAGATGAAGCTGCGGTCTGTGGTAACATCTGAAACTTGTGAGAGTGCCAGCTGCCTGTGACATTGAAGTGGTGCAGTCTGCTGATATCAGAAAATGTAATATAAAAATAAAATAGGAACTAAGCTCACTGCTAAAGCTGTTGGAGAAACAAGTAAACATGTTCCTTTATGGATACAGCCAGAGACAGGTTGACAGGGCTCCTGCATTATTTGTGAACTTGTGCAATATCCTGAATTGCACTCATCTTAACCCAAAGCCTGACAGAAGAAACCGTAACCTACTACAAGGAATAACATTAATCCAGCCTATCAGGAGGGTTATAAGACGTAGCAAAACCTAACAGAATAAAGTCTTATAGGTCAATAACAACAGCATTAAATGGTAAATTCTTCATTATATACACAAAAAAATGTTGTGCAATGCAGGGGTTTGGCTGCTTGAATTTAGAGTGGCTTTGGAAAGTGAAATGACTGATTGATAGCCCCTTCTCTGTCCCCAGATCCAGCCCCTCTGTCTTTAACACCTTACTGCTCTGACAGCAGTCAAGTGAGAAGTAGACAGTGGAAGAAAACCTGTACATAACACTGCCTTCAAACTAAACGTGAGGAAATAAAACGCCCAAGTGCATCTGCTGTGGTGTGAAACCGCAATTTAACTTTAGTTGGCCTAATAATATGGGTGTTACAGAACAATGAGCCCAAAGTGGACATGCATTTAGACGCATATAAACAAGAAATTAACATGTATTTTTGTTTTGTATTTCCATTTATTAAAATGGGGTCGTAACAACAACAGCAACAATATTAATAATAATACAAAAAAAAAATAGTACAAATTAGGCACAAGCAATGTATCAGGACTGAGGAATTCAAATAACACACACACACAGTTTATGTTTCGTAGGGGACTTTACATTGACTTACATATAGACTAACCCTAACCTTAACCAGAACCACTACTTGCCTAACCCTAACCCTGACCCTAACCTTAACCTAACCCTAAACCATGTTGCCACCCTAAAATTCAATTTCTTGCCCTTGGCGACCTCAGTTTAGGTCCCCACCGTGAAATGGGTCCTCATGAGTTGGTATGGAGTCGCCTGAGTGGTGTGTTTTGAAAGCCGAGGGCGGAAACAGCTGCTGTCTTCATTGTCGCTGCCTTAACAGCAGCTCTGGTTCTCACGCTTCCTCCGGCGCAGCGCCGTGTGCTGGCGTAGTCTCCACTGCATCCCGACTTCTGCACACTTTCCTTTTTTAGAAAAAACGTCGCAAGTGTGTTGAGGACGTCAACTATAATCTGAAAAACAGCAAGTGACCGCGACCTACATCGGTTTATGTGACTGACTGTTGGAAGTCCATCCCACGCTGTCACTGCGCTTTGTAGCTACTTTGGGTACTGGGCCAGTTTGTGCGGAACAGTAGTTTAGAGTGGGAAGAGGTTACACACAGTGGGTGACAGGCTTTGAGCATCCGTCTGCTGGCAGGAACACTCCTTAAGGTAAGTCTACGAAACTTATGCCTGTTATGTTAAACTATCTAAGCAAGGTTATGCTCTAAAATTCATTATAGCCTATTTGAAATTCATTAACAGTCCCTTTAGTGACCAATGTGCACTTTTTATCTGTCTATCTGTCTGTCTATCTTTCTATATATAATTTTTTTCAAAAAGTTCCTTCCACTTCTTTTGCTTGATTTGTAAAATATAAATGCTATTTTTTATTTTTTTTTGTAGGCCATCCCATAAAATAACAATAACGTGACCTTGATGTTGCCTGTGGGTTTTAACATTACATAAGGACAGATGTTTGTGTTAAATTGCAGTATTTATTAATTGGCCTATATTAACCATTTGTTTAACATTTATTTCAACAATAATATTTCAAAAATATTTCCCTGTGTGTGTGTGTGTGTGTGTGTGTGTGTGTGTGTGTTTGTGTTTGGAGCATCCTTAGCTTTATTTACAGTGACATAGTTGTGTCAGGCCTTGTGTATTATTTTCTGCCCCATTATAAGTTCACTTATATTAAAAGACGATGGCAGGGTTCACATGGGTTTTGAAAGGCAGACATCAAAGGCAGAGCACCTTTATTGCTCTGCCTTCCTGCAGCGTGTGGTTTCCTGTCTGTACCTAGGTGTGCAATCAAAAAGCTTCACTCAAAGAAAAAAAGGTTTCAAAATGGGGCATTGCCCCAGTTTAAACATTTTTAAACCATTACATGCAGATCTGAGAAGCACTTGATATTTGAAAGTGAATGTGAACAAACAGCAAGCAAGAGGGGATTTTTTTTATGCTCTATCTCTTGAAATGCAAATATTGCAGCATATATGTGACTCATTGCAGAAACTCCTTCTCCTGTGCTGACTTCATTTTTTTATAATGAGGAAAAGAAACCCCCTGATGGCAAACAGAACCTCATGACCAACACCTTAGAGGGGGGCTTAGGCTTAATAATAATATGCTGGCTTTTGTCTGTGCATGTGTCTTGTGTGTACATACGTGTGTGTTGTTTTATTGATTTATTCAAAGCCCCGAAGGAAATATCTGCAGCATTCCACCTGCTCCTCCAATTTCCTGACCAAGGACATCAAGATACAGATAAAGGAACACACTCACATGGAAATGCACACTGAATCGCTATGGTGCTATCACAAAGAATGCAAGGTCCTAATACAAATGTAGCCTAGGGAAAATTCCACATCAGCCATGCTTGGCTACCTCTAGACCACCACTTCAACTTGAAACGTTTCTGTGCAGAGAAATTTGAAGATTTCACACAACGCAGTTAGGTTTTATTTTACCATTTTTGCATCTGATGAGACAAACAAACTCAAGTTTTTATGAATATTTTCAATTGGTCTCATGAATTTCACTTTCAGAAGCTTCCTCAGTAGCTGCTCAGCATATGAACCTGGCATTTTCACACACAAAGTACTGAACTGTATATCAAAATGTCAAGCACCACTGACTCATAGCAAGCCAGTTGCCTTTTGTACTGTGCCACGGGAAAACAAGTCATCTGTAACCGTGTTGGAAGCAGTGCGCAACATTGTAGCATCTTCTCAAAGCAGCACTGCAAAATGACAAATTACGTCAGTGTGAAAATAGGTCAGAAGAGATCATTTCCTGAACAGTTTCATCAGTTTGACTGTGTTTTGTTTTACTTAACACCACAAATTTTATTCTGTCCTTACGCTTAAAGGAAACTACAAAACACAGGCATTATAAGCCTTTTAGGATTTGAAAATATATATTTTCCCAAAGTGGTCTTTAATCTCTCCTACCTTGCCTGTCATTTTGGCTGAGTGTGTCTTTTAACCATAGGCTTAAACAGCCTCCAAACCAGCCAATGATATCTGACCCTTATTCATTCTCACTGTCACTTCAGCTCTAAAGCTTGACAACAAAGAGCAGCTTTTGTTCCCTGAATTACTACGTCCATGCACATTCTTTAGAGTGAAGTAAATGTGGACTGAAACTCTTACAGGGGCCTATTTCAAGAAGGCGGTTTTGTCGAAACTCAGAGTTTGTTAACCCCGAAATGAGGGAAACTCTGAGTTTTCAGTTTCAGAAACGGAGGTAACTTAAACCCGTGAAGCGGGGTAAGTTAAACCCGTTTCACAAAGAGAGGTAATCTAAACTCAGAGTCAGTTACTATGGCAACTTACTCTGTGAACCTAACCTGCTGGCGAGCAGGTTTTGTTCGGGAAACTCAGAGTTTCCTCC